TGTTATGGAATACCAATTCCATTTGTTGTTAGTATAATATATCAACATGCAAGAATCGATCAAACACACCGACAGACTTTCAAAGCCTTTGTGGTTACTCTTTAATATTCGCTGTTTCCTTTTTCTCCAAATGTATAGGTTGATAGCTATTATATTCGCCCAGTGTGTGTTACACGAGGCATGAGATTGTTTGCAGTTCAGACATTTGCATTAACAATAAACTTCTAGTAGTACTGTCAATGTTATAGCATGCAATACCAAAAGATTGTTAATTAACTGTTAAATGTCAACTTCATATTCAAAAAAGTACAACTGAAACAGGCAACATTAAGTAAATGAGCCACGGACGACTACGCCGTTCGCGGGAGCAAGACACTATAAAATGATAATGTGAATGAAATACGGTCATGACTATAGCTTGTTGGTAATTAATTCCAACACAGTCGATCCAATAAATAAAAAAAAAAAAAATAAAAAAAATTAAGCGTCAGTTGGCCTCTTTTTCTTGATCGTCCCAACACCTCTTAAGCCCTGTCTAGACTATCAAATTATATTTGACAAAACATGGGACATGCCTAAATATGGCCATGATGACATCACAGCATGTGACCATATACAGGCATATAATAATAATAATAATAATAATAATAATAATAATAATAATAATAATAATAATAATAATAATTCCACAATTCTATTCATAGCGCATTCCGCAAAAAAAAGCCTAATGCACTTTACAAAAAGAAAAGATAACAAGCAGTAAATAATTTTGACTAAACTAAAGCAGTTCAGAAAAAGCATTTGCGCTATCGGTATAAGTATCCAGAACAGGGCTCCACCCACCGATGTCGAAAACAACGTCGCTGTCACACACGGGTGCACGCACGCATGCACTCCGTTAGGCAGCTTCCACCTCAGAATAAGCCCTCGACTCTACTACCGTGCACTGCAAAAGATAACGACGTTGTCTCGAGTAAGGAACGGGTGGGTCCCAGCTCTGAACACCCCACAAAGGATAGCACATGCATCATTAACCACCCCAGATGAAATAAGGGAAAAAATATCATGCATATTCACAGCGTTTTTAAACAGAAATGTATGCCCATATATAGGCATACAATAGAGTTTTGTCACAGAAATTTGAGTCTGGACAGAGCTTTAAAAATATACTTGGATTTGTAGTACTAGTTTTGTGTAGATTCAATATGATTGACATACCCTCTGGATAGGCAACTATTACTGAAGTCTATTTTACATAATTTTCCATTTATGTCAGAAAATATCACATATTAAAGCAACGATATATTTTGGTTAAAAACTACACAAAAATCACTATATTTGCCTATATTATGTGCCTTGAGCACCTTGGGTGGAGATGTGCGCTTTATAAATCTTCTATTATTATTATTATTATTTATTATTTATTATTATTTATTATTATTATTATTATTATTATTATTATTATTATTATTATTATTATTATTATTATTATTATTATTATGATGATGATGATGATGATGATGATGCAAGTAATCGTCTTCCCACGGACAAGTCTTCTGTAGTTATTTTTGAGAGCGCAGGGCAGCACTGAATCGGTATTTATTATATTATTTTCGATCTCCAAAAATTTTTTCTGGACAAAAAATATTCTGACAAATGACTCCGAACATAATACGTTTATTGAGCCTGTAGAACAAACTACGAACGACATAATACCTGACAGGCCATGGTTCTCGCCCCGTGTAAATATAAACTGGTTTTCATAATATCGCTTCACTGTTGCTATTTCAAAGTCCTCGGTTAAATGCTTGTTTGATTTAACCGACCAATCGGCGTCACGAAATCTCCGGGACAGCTTGTAGTGTTTTCATGGAGATTAGGCTTTAAACGAATAGGCGTTCTCTAACATACACGCGGCCTTTTTTTATTTTTTTATTGTTTCATCTTCAGGTACAATATTTCTGTCGCTCCGTTATGGAAGCAAAGCTCTTGCGTTGCATTATTAACGGAGCTTGAAATATTTCGCACATTTTGAAAAGTAAACAAATGCATTCACTGGTAGAAATTTTTAATAATAATAATAATTATTATTTTATTATCTCCCTTATTATAAACCTCTGCCCTCATCTTTATCCTTATCACCTTTATCCTTCTTATCATCATTACTATTAGATCATTTACGATATTTTTCATTTTCTAAGGCACAAACAAACCAACCATTAGTATGAAGTGCTAAATACCCAAAACAACATGCCAATACAGGTACATTCATAATACAATAATAATAATATAATGATGATGATGATGATGATGATGATGATGATGATGATGATGATGATGATGATGATGATGATGATAATAATAATAATAATATAATATAGCAAATCCCCTCAAAATAGATTTTGTGGAACTGGATTATGGCATGCCAATTGTTCTTCCTAGAAACTACCGTCATCTACCAATTCAATAACCGAGTTGACAGACATTTATTTTGTTAAAATTTTATAATAGTTCGGGCAAACAATACATAAAGAACATACATGAAAACATTTTTTTTTCAATCACCAAGCGCATAGAGGCTTTTTCGCATGATGCGCTATACAAATCCAACTATTATTTATTATTAACAACAACAACTACTGCCATGGCCTAGTAAAGACCAAGTAGTGCTAACTTATAGTATAGGCCTTCACAAAATTTCAGACAAACATTCAGTTCGTCCGGACCAACCACCCATATGCTGCTTTTGAAGGGGAGTTTTATAAATTATTTATACAGAAATTAATATTTTAACATTTACATGAATTTATACCAATAAAAACTAACACTGCTACTATAATTAAATACTGCTACCATAACTAACTAGGCCTGCTGCTCCTACATTATAACTGCTAATGCTACCATAAAAAAACTAATTGCAGATACTACAGTATAACTATTTATTACTGCTACCTGCTGCTAATATAACAAACTGCTTCTATTACTAAATGCTTCCAGGGGAGGATCCAGAAAATGGTGCTTTTTTTGGGTCTGGTGTTCTTGTGAAATAATTGCTGTGTGGGTGGATATTCAGATACATTAATCTCTGTCTCTTATACACATCTAGATGTGTATAAGAGGGAGTACCCCCTGTGCCCACCTACTGGATCCGCCCCTGGTTTCTGCTGCTAATACTGCTGTTACTACTAACTGCTACTGCAGCTTCGACTATCTGCTGCTGCTACTACTACTTTTAATCCTACTACTATAACTAAGCATAATACTACTGCTGCTACTACTACTAATGTTTAAGTCTTTAGTTGAGTAAACCGCATTTTCATATCACTTCAAATCAGTGATGATGTATTTCCGCTAAGCCGTTTAATTCCTCATCTATCATAATTTTAGATACATGCTTCATTACATCACTTCATATTGCATGAGTCAGTATTTTATCCTAAATCCGATAAGAACTCAGGAAATTTACAAATATTGTAGGTGAAGACGATGTTAAATTATTCAGAAGAACTATGAATTCATAATGAAACAAGAAATTTGTGTAAACATTCACAACATTTTATCGCAAATACACGTATTCTCTTCTGATTTCCTTATTAGTCATTTCAATTACGTTAATTATAAACAGCATTTTAACTCTGCAGACAGCTATTAACAAAGCAATCCATAGATGAATTGCTTTACACCACTTATGAATACAACATGTATACATTTCGTATAATTAAAAAACATTCGAACATGTAGGCGCTAACGGAACATTAGGAAAATGTGTTAGTCAACAGAAGACGATGTAAGTATAGAGAAGTACGTATTTAGGCATGGGGCTAATAATATAAACATGTGTTTATGTTGATATTCAAGAACATTTAAAACAAAATCGACTTTCCTAGATAGCGCCTTCTCACTTTCCACAATATTGACAATTCCTTCATAAAGTTTGTAGAGTATCTTCTCCTATCCCGTAAGTTGTCAGTTCCTTGCTGTTGTACAGTGGCGTTAGTATAGGAGGGCGTGTTCCTTCTCTCACCTCCTAATGGAATTTGCTGGGCAACAACTTGCACTCAATCTTAACTCATAACACATTAGAACTAGCACCACCCTACTTAACCTCCACCCCCTCCATCAGCCCAACCCTCAAGTCAATAGGGAGTTTTCGATTTGTGCGACGACGCAACGCTAGAACGAAATCACTCATGCGTGACCGTCCTACCTGGCGTCCTACTTTCTCTGCATACATAGATTTGGCCAAATTGCGTTCCAGAATCTGCTCGACGAGGTGACCTTAACGTTCTCGCATGCGCCGATGACTTTTAGTGACGTCATTACGTTCTATGTCCTACCGTCTCGTGCAATCGAAAGTTCCTTAATATGGGCCTCTCCGCAAAAGCCCACCTATTGGATATAGTAGCTTAGGTCCCAAAAAACAATAGCGTAAATATACGTAAAACAGTACGTTTGAGGGGCAACACGTGTTTGCTGGACAGGCACATATTCCTGGCACTCTTCTGATTGGTCCAGTGGATTGACACTTTGGAATGGTCCATTCCCAGATAAACCACTGCTGTTGTATGACCACTCTAAAATTGTGGGTTATGACAAGAGTGTCTTAAGATGTTACACACTGCACAAATGGTGCTTTTTTTGGGTCTGGTGTTCTTGTGAAATAATTGCTGTGTGGGTGGATATTCAGATACATTAATCTACAGAAATATAAATTATATACCTTATTACACCTCTCCATGCAAAAATAGTACTGATTTGGCTGTTGGTGCTGTGGCAACCATTATAACTCGTTACATATTAATCTTTAGAGGTAATTTATCTATCACTCTGACTAGATGAATATAAGATGCATACAATTAACTCATATAGTAATATCACCTCCAACATGATGATTAGAAGTTCCATTTTGTGTTGAATTATATTCATTTTGATAATCATCATAAGTGGTAAGAGGTTGGCACAAGCATATTGGACTTGGTACAAATTGGTTGTAAATGAAATTGTGCTTTGCAAAAGGCATCAATTTAATATAAAATTGGCACGGTACAAAATATGACAGGATACTGTTTTTAAAGTTTAATGTGTAGCCCTACATCTCGATATGTATGCTGTTGTTATATTATTTGTTTTAGGTGATATCTAATATAATATTTAAAACATAAATTTACAGAACTAAATAATGTACGAGTGTGCTCTATATTTCTTAATACATGCAATGATACTATATATATTTTTATATCATTAATCAACATTCTCATTCATTTTCATTTTAAATATTAGACAAATCAATTTAAACTAAAAATAAATATAAATATCGTCTGGTAATATCGCAATCACTGTATATCCATGATTCCATTCTGTTTTGCTCCACCAGTGGGGCTTTGGGCAATATTAGTAATAGATAAAATTGCTTGAGGATTTCTATAGAATTTACCAGACAGAGATTGTATATTTTTAAACACCATCACTAAAGCCGTGTTTTACATTGAAAGATATTTGATCGTGAAGACAAAGATTAACTTTACCTTGGGCAATCCCATTGCCGTTCCAACTTTGGATTTAAATACGAATTATGTTTTACCAAGCAACGACATACAAGTAGGATTTTACGCATAGTGGTCCATCTAATTGCGTATACTTTGTGGTAGTTGCACGCACACAGAAAGATTTACCGAATCGCTTTCTCCACTTTAACTTCTCCGTTCACGAAAACGCCTGTAATTCATCCTGGGCAACATTTACTTGGATAAACATTATGGTGGCCTGGGTAAGGTAACAAAAGAAAATATTAAGCAGGCTGTTCATACTTACAGAAGTTCAATCTTTGCTGGGCTTTAGAAATATTCCTTTGTAGATTAAGTGCATCAAAAATGTGTAAAACACCAGTAGATTTGTCTCTTATAATGAAAACCAAGCAGTGATTTTGTAAGTTTGTGCAAATACCTTATAAATTGTGGCATTAAACGCAGATAGTAGATTCTACTCAACATCAATGTTGTGTTCAGGAAAGTAATGATTTTGAATCTCTTTTGTGCCCATCTGTACTGCCCAGTCATTAAATACATTGAGAACTCCACAATACAGGCTTGTAGCATTCGGAGCCGGTTCCTTCAACCAGACCGCGATTGTCTGTCATGACGTCACACTTCTGTACTCTATGCAATTTCATATTTGTATGCACATAGGTTATCACTAAAATACATACCATAAAGTTTCATATCTATAAATTATTATACTATTTTATTTCAGCCAGTTTACATATGCGACCCTTTACCAGTGAGTTCAATCTGATCTATGATACTTTGTATCACTTCTCTTGTTGTTGCTTGTCCACCAAGATCCGGTGTGTGGTTCTGGAAATAAAAGAAATGGATCTCTAATTAAGGAATTCTTAATGTATATAACTAATAAAAAAATAATTGAATTTGATTAATTGATGGGAAGAAAATGGATAAGTAATAAAGAAGTCAAATGAAAATAACACACAAAAGGAAATATATTCAAAATGAAAAATGGAAAAAATATTTTTGAAATATAAATCAATATGGGATAAAAATTTGATAATAGCCGTTAAAAATCATCTGGTAAAAGGCACATAATCTATGTTAATCTAATTTCCCCCTATGTCTTGACTTACCTGGTAGGATGTTGTGGAATTAAATATATTTGCATGAAGGGGATGGGGGAGGGTGGGGTGTATTAAATGGCACTGCAGCACACTTGAAAAACAACAAAAGGAGAGGAGGGGGTTGTATATTGGGCAAGGTTTGTGGAGGGGGTTGTATTTAGGCAAGATTTGTGAATATGGATCCAATAACCAGGGATAATAACACTACAAGTGCTTCGACACACAGCATTCAGATTGTTAAGGGAGCTCATAAATACCAAACAACATTATAATTTATTAAAAGTAAAACAGTAGCTTGGTGGTTTACATCTTTGAAATCAAGAGATCTTTGATGCACAACCTTTAGAATGTTAAAGGTGCTTACAAATGTCAGATAATGTTATATTATAATTTATTAAAGCAGTAGCTTGGTGTTTACACCCTTGAAATAAAGATAATCTAGGTTATTTAGCGTATGGCCTTCAGAATGTTCAAGACAATTAATAAATGCCAAATATTATTAAAAGTTAAGTTAAAAGTGGTCATTTTGGTGGTTACATGCTTGCAATCATATGACACTGGGTTCAAATTCAAATTATTATTTCTCATGACTAGAAATACACACACTAAGCCTTGTGTTGAGGATTAATTTTTATAGAACATCACTTTATAATTTAAGAGAGTCTCTGAATATCAACTACCCTTCTGAACTTTGTGAGAATGTCTGCCTTGAGAACTACTGCTGTGAATATGTGCGCTTTATAAATCTTATTATTATTATTATTATAAATATGGTACAAAATAATGTATGATTTTTTTAGATGTACATTAACTTACATTTCATAAATATGGTACAAATAACAATTTATTACTTTTAGTTGTAAATATTTACTATCTAAATATATATCTCTGGTACAAATAGAAATATATCAGTACAACCTGAATAATCATTTAAATGGATTATACTAACCTCCTTCTTTGTGAGCGTCTCCATGACAGAATTTCTAATGAGGGCAGCATGCTGGTTGAGGTTTAGATGGTCCAGCATCTGACAGCTGGCCAGAAGCATTGCAGTTGGGTTGGCCATGTTAAGACCAGCTATGGTCTTCCCTGTGTTTCTGGTGGCCTAACAGAATAGATAATATGACAATAATAATATAAATAATATCTATTAATCTTGAGATCAAGAATTTGATGATCTATGTTGTTACATTTTTCCAGACCATTAAGTTTTAAATCCCAGATGTTTATTGAGGATCTCTGTTTTGCAATGTATCCACAGACTTTGAAATAAGTGTAATTATAATATAGATAGATAATAATTTCTTATTTTATAAGTATATCCAGAAAAAGGCACATAGTTTTATGCATAGAGTGGAAAATATGTAAAATGGACTTGTGAGGTATACTGTAGAGTAGATTTTAAACAGATTTTAACCTGTTGGTAAAGTGGCAATGGTTATTTAAGTATGTGGTAGATAGTAAAGATAGTAATAAGCCTAACATAAAGAACTTTGTTTAATATCATTTATACAATCCTATGCATTACAATTGGCCTGCCACTAAACTTAGATGAAGGGATGCGCTGGCGACGTCATTACAAATACAGTCGAGACCGTCTACGTAACTAGCATGCACATCAGTTTTAAAATTATAGAATACTGATAAAATTTTCCTTTGATAATAGAGTTGTATAGGACAACATGATGTAACAGATAAAAAAGCAATGATCTTACCGTTTCAAACACAGAATATCTGTCGCCTAAATTCTGTCCAGGAACGATTCCTGGGCCCCCAACAAGTCCAGCTCCAATATTGCCGACTATGTTTCCGTAAAGGTTTGGCATCACCATGACATCAAACTGACTTGGATTGGATACCATCTAGTAAAAACAGAAAATAACAACAGCAACATCAATTGTTAATTGATAAATATGAAAATCATTTTGCCATTCAAGTAATTTATATTACCATTTTGGGTATTTAGATTTTTGAAAAAGTATATCATGTCATCTTTTTGTAATCCAGGCACTCACGGTGTTGTGCAACAGTCATATGCCCATCGGCCTATGAATCCTACTTTGCTTCTTGTGAATGTTTTGTGTGCGCATCGTAGCGTTGCGTTCTCCATCGCATCGGCCCCATGACTATCAGATGCAGTGAGTGCTAAGCTTGGCAAATAGAAAGTCATTTTATGTTTGCACTTTTGAACCAATCAGATTCCCAGGAGAGCTATGAATGTAGTAATAATTGATAGTACCTGCATACAGCAATTGTCCACGATCATGTCTTCAAACTCAATATCTGGATTCGCAGAGGCAACATCTCGACACGTCTGCAAAAACAACCCATCTCCAAGCTTCCTGGTAACAAAAAGAAGTTCAAATTGCACTGTTAGAGTAACAAATAGAATGCTCACTGCTGAGAAAAACCGAAAGTACATCCAGTTTTAAGAGTGCAACGAAAGATAAAATTCAATGGCCGGTAATCTTAGACCAAAGAAATACAAAATGTGAGTGCACACTGCAGTCAACACAGAACCAAAAAAACTATTATGCAATAAATAACAAATGAACACTGAAAATGAAACATAGGCCTATATGAAGATAAGTTTAAATAATTAAATTTTATGAATACACTACATCAAAGAGTATATGTAGTTTTGTTTATTATAAAAATATAAGAAGTTTGAATAATTAAATTTTATGAATCACTACATCAAAGAGTACATGTAGTTTTTTTAATTATAAAAATATGACAAAAAGTTTAAATAATTAAATTTCATGAATACACTACACTAAAATGTACAATAGTTTTTTTTTATTATAAAAATGGAAAAAAAGAAATTACAAAATGTTAATATAATTGATTGTAGTGTAGTTCTAGCTTGGTGGTTAAGGTGCTTGCCTTCCAATTTCAGGGGCATGGGTTCAAACCCTGTAGTAAGTAGGATTTTCACACAACTGAAAACACCTTTAGCCTCATTATGAGACTTACTGTAGATTAAGCCTGGTTTTCATAAAAATCACTACAGGCTATCGCCGACTCCTTTGGCGATGTTGATTGGTCAGTTGAATCAAGGAGCTTTTACGATTGCGTCACGGACAGCTATGCAGTGCAAGGATTGAAGTGAAAACGCTGTAGTGACTGTGTAGCGATTGTATGGAAACCAAGCTGTATAAGCATAATTTAACTCTGTGGGAGTACATTGACTTGATATGGAACAGGTTCCAAGAATAATACATCATACAGTAGGTATCGAGTCTGGTTAATTTAGCAAAGATAAAAACATCTTTTATTAATATATCACCAGGTTATCAGTTCTGATCATTCTGATCAGTTGCTTAAGACAGACTACTCACATAATATTTGCTTTGTGGACTGCGGTAACCTTCTTCCTTCCGTTGCTTCTCGCATAATCAAAAGCATATTCAGCTATTCGTTTTGATTTGGCATGAGTAATTATCTTTAAACTTTCTACAACACCATCAACATTCTGAAACAGATTTAACACAAATGTTACCAACATATGCAATGCTTTGATAAGGTTTCATTTTTCTAAGGATAGACTACATAACACCATTGGAAGTACAAGCTAGAAGCCAGGTGGCAAGGGAAAAATGTTCTTGTCAGACAAATGTAGACTGCAGACTGTAGGCCATGAGGTTATGGGGGGAGGGGGGTGGTGGTCATGAGATTAGGTTTTTATTGTCCTAAGGATAAGGATAGACTACATAGCACTAGAGTAAGTACAAGCTAGAAGCCAAGTGAATAGGGAAAAATTTCCCTGCCGGACAAACATACCACACACTGTAGGCCACAAGGTTGTGGGGGGGGGGGGGTGTCATGAAATTAGGTTTCATTGTTGCAAAGGATGAACTACATAGCACAAGTGGAATTTTAAGCCAGAAGCCAGGCGGAGAGAGGGAAATTTCCCTGTCGAACAAACAGACTGTATGCCAAATGAGCTTGTGAAGAGGTGGGGGCTTTTTTAATCTATAAATTTAACACTGGTTTAGCAGCCATAACAGATATATTCAATTTGTAATGGAAATAAATTAGAAACTGTATATTATTAAAACAAAGTAATTTAAATTTAAAACAGTTACCAATCAGCATAGGCAGTAAAATGTGAGTAGCGTTTCATTAAAATATTTATAGTAAATTCACAAAATAGCCACCTGGGAAAAGATGTCATTCAGAAGGTGATAAAATTGGGTGAAATATTAAATGCAAAATAGAGTGTGTTAGGACTATCAAATTTTATGTGACAAATGTGTGTGATGTGCCCATATATGGGCATAATGATGTCACATTAAACCCAAATATGGGCATATCACCATTATTTGTCACATAAAAGTTGATAGTATGGGCAAAACTTTAGCATATATTAATTGCTACTAAAAATGGTAAGTAATTCCTAATTAATTCTCAGCTTGAATATGTACATAGTTATTTATTAAAGTACTCAGATAAAATATGTACACCTACAGCCTAGTAAACATTTGTACTCAGGCTTGTAATTACTTACTTCATGCTCTAGACTTGAATATTCTCCTTCAGTGTTTTCCCGGATGACAACAATATCAATATCATCATGCCTTGTTTTAATCCCCGGGTAGCTCTTACAATGAATAACATTTGCAAACAGATCCAAGTTTTTCCTTAAAATAAACAAGAATAATCATTGTACAATAAATATATATGAGTCCTGGTGGAGGATGATTTTTCTTATTATTATCAATGGTGAGATTAATTAAATTTTTAATTTTATCAATATACATTTGGAAAAAACTAAGGAATCTAAGCATAAAAATTGTATTTCCAAAAGAAACATGAAACGAGCAACCTAAATCAGTCATTATATTAAAGAATGTAAAAATACTATTTTAAATTTATATTTATCTAAGAAATTTAGTGGCAGATCAAGGAACTTGAAATAAAGTGGGCCCATAGTTGGCTGAGGTAAGAAGACTTAAATTTAAATATATAGTTTCGTGTTTTCTCAATTTTCCCTATAATTTTGAACAATTCAGAGGGGGGGGGGGCAGGGCTGGCTGCCCCAACCCCCAATGAATCCACAGCTGAAACTTCAACTCATACATTAGGTTCCTTATCAACTAGAAGCCCCAAATCTATAACAATTGTAAGCAGGCATATATTTAGACATGCACTGCCTTACAGCCAATCACAAGATCAATTTCTCAGAATGATTCCATTTTCAAAAGGCATATAGGGAAATAAATGCAGACTCGTGCTAATTATCACATAACACAAGACAACCACTTTAAATTACTTCACTTATATCTATTTGTCAACTTTGCGTAGCATTACGGGTATGTTAATAAAAAAAATCATATACAGTAAATCTATTTTGTGCTATGCTTTACAACAGCCAAATTGCCAAAATATCTCATTGAGAAATGGATTAAAACACAAAAACATCACAATTGCTCAACAAACCTAAGAGTAACATTATCTGACTTGTCATTAATTTGAAGTGTGTCCAGGTTGGTGTGGACGTTGCCTTTGAGTGCTACTCCGTTTCTTTTCACTGCTATTATTGCCTGCTCTACCGATTCAGCATCTTCTCTTTCACCGCTCAAAAGAAACTCTTCAAAGTCTATTGGCGCCCCAGCATACCTTAAAGTTAAGTACAAATTACACAAATGAACAAACTATCTTATTTATACATGTGAGCAAATTGTCACGTTTTTGGATTGAACGGAGATGTGTAGGCCTGGAAAAAGGTTGCAAAAATATTAAAGTTAAAAATTAAAATAGAGAAAAAAAAAAAATGATTTCTGTCTCACCTGAATACATCTTTGACGTGTACCATGAGTTCTGGACCAATTCCATCACCAGGAATAAGAGTCACTGTGTGTCTACCACCATACTTTGCTGCAGTGGGCTGTAACAACAATTGAACCAATAAAAATAATGCTTGTTTGTGTAAAGCAATTGCCTCTTGGGAAAATACAAAGACCGCTGTATGATGTAAAAGTGGATGGAAAGAAGAACAGACTGACCATTATGCTAATGGATATAAGACAGTGAAGAAATAAGCAAGTGACTGACTACATTTAAAATGTACATATAAAAAATAAATTTTTCATGCAACAGTGTAAGATTCACAATATATAATAAACACAAAAATCAGAATTATGCCAGCTACCTACAGTATCTGTGCCATTTTCATACAGTATACACATTTAGAAGTGAAGCGGTACTTAAATGGATGTAGGGTGCCTCATACATTGAAACCAATAAAACCAGGAGGAGGAGCAATAAAATCCATCCTTGAGAGAACAATCTCAAACATTGCAAGGTCACAGTTCATTCGAAGCTTTTTCTGTCGTACACTGTAATTTAAGAATTAGATAGTTGGGTAACCATCAGGTATACACTGTACATATAGGTATAGTGTGACCTGACAGGGAGATGGGAGACTCTGCCCCTACGATGAGCTTCTGGAACCTTCTGACATGGGAGGGGAGTACCCGACAGGGTACGACCTGGGGTTACAGGTAATTAATTAACATAATAAAATTTAACAATAAAAAAATAAAACATAAAATAAAATAAATATATGAATAAATGTGGAGCACTCCTTTCAAACAAGATCTCTCTCATGTTAATGCATGGCAATGTTATGTCAACTGATGCATATTAGTCAATGATGGCCATATGTTTTATTTTATGAAAGAAAGCAGCTATGAAGACAAGAAACAATCGTAATACAATTTTAGTAACTAAAAAAATTACTATACAGTATCTAACAACAATATTTATAATTATAAAACAATAAATGATATACAGTATGTTATAAAATACACAATTAAAACAAGTTTGCATGTGAAGAATATTAATAGTAAACAAAACTTTTGACTAGATCTTAAAACATACATGCATCGATTGAAAATACAGTACAGTAATTCAATGGATGCATTCAAATCAACATAATGCAGTGTCATAAAGCAGAAATTCTTAAAAATAAGCCATGCAGTTCCCTAAATAAAGTGTCACTTATACTGTATTGTCAAAATTAACATAATACTAAAATGAATTTAATGTTCAGAATACTGCCCTTACTGTATTTTTTTTTTAAGAATAATAATTAAAAATATAAAAAAAAATAAACTAATAAATAAATACAAATTTAAAAAATAATATGCTACAAAAACATGCTGAATGCTGTTAATATCAAATTACGAAGTTAAAGTAAAACGTGCAGCTTAGTACAGTATACAAGAGTAGGACCGGCAAATATTAGTAACCGTAAATGCTATAAACTACACATACAGTAAGAAGTTTGTAAGTAATTACAGAGTAATATCTTGTTTAATTTCATGCATTATTTATAAGAAGATTTGAAAATTCATACCAAAGATTTATGAATATCTTCCTGTAAACCGTAATAAAAAGAGTGACAAATGGGAGACATGTTAAAAATGCAAGTAATAGAGGTATTTAAATTTGAAAAGATATATCATATTTAGACACATTCACACAGCAAACTATTAATACTGTTATTAAACTTGATGCTAAGAATTTTATAAAAACATAGGAGGCAAAGACAAGCCAAACCAGTTATTATACAGTGTTAAACAGTAAAATGAATGTTATAAAATGGCGAAAGAATCATTTAAATCCAATGTTCAAATGCTTAAATAACATTATTTGAGAAATCAGCCTTCAAAGTTCATGATTTTGGGGGATTTTTATGCAGAGACCATCACCAAATCATTAAAAAAAATGTTGTTTAGATATAAGGCGGCTTAGTTTAGTGCAATAGAATAGATTTTGAAAATGTTGACATTCAAACATGTTTTGGCCATTTTCTTAAAACACAATTTGTGAGGAGTGACTGGTTTTATTGCAAAAGGCTGACAAAATTAATCCAACAAGTACTGTACTTATAGTATTGCAATTTTCAAGTCAAGTCAGTTCTTTTGTAATACAGTACAAATAATTGTTTGCCTTTTTGTTAAAAGTAAACAAATAACCTTCTATTTAAAGACAGTCCACCTTCACACAATATTGTTAAAAGTCATTTGAAGATTAAATATTAAGATGTATAGTTACCATAGTTGATGCACATCTTTTCTGACCAAAGCACACCGATACAACATTGGGCAAGTTCCCCTGAAATTCAATCATAGTTTTTTTTACACTGGAATGCTTGAAATATAAAATGACCCACAACAGGTAGAATAAAATTTTTTGCTCAGCAAGTTTTCAGTTGGGGTATGCAAGTTGGGGCAGGCAGCAGGGAGGGGGAATGTGCGCCTCCAACGCTCTTGTAGTAGATACCATTGGCATTGAGTACTTCTACTGTACTAGCCTAGGGCCAGGCTAGACCTAGTTGAGCAGGCCTATGCCTAGCCTAGTAGGCCCTCTAGTTGGGCCTCTCATCTGGCATCTACTAGCTAGGCTACAGCCTACCACTATTATTATTAACTAACTAGGCCTAGGCCTTCTAGGCTAGGCCCTAGGGGGTGTGCAAAAGTGCATCCGTTACTCATTAGCGCCGCAGTTGGGTAGTGCCTAATTAGCCTACTTCCTAGGCTAGCCTAGGGTAGCCTCACTGGTGATAGGCCTAGGTCTAGGCCCTATACTATTCCGTACGGGGTACGACTGTTGTTTTAGGCCTCTACGCTAGCCTACTACTATAGGCCTAGGCCTAGGTCTGGCTAGCCTAACCGGCCTAGGTCTAGCTAGGGCCTAGGCCTAGCCAAGCCTAGCCTCCTAGGGCCCTAGGCCCTATATATTTTTACCTCAGAACAGAACACTTAATAATACAACGATTTATAAATAAGTCTGTGTAATACTATATCCATGAAATAGTAATTTACATACCTTATTAATACAAGAGAGATAATTTAAATGCCGATAAACATTGAATATTGACTTCTTAGCGAACATTCTGCAGCGCGTAGCCATTTTAAGGTCAAAGTTTATAAAGGTAAAAATACGACAATGTTTATTTTGCGGTCCAGAGCTGTAAAACAAGGAAGTCTGCGGTCTTGAGCAGGTCTTCCACCTGAGCTGATAAAATCGGTCCGGACAGGACTAAATTTTGGCTTAGCCAAAATCTGTCCGCCTACGCCTGCTACAGTGCTAGACGAGTTTGTAGGTGACATACACTAGAATCATTTTTGTTTGGACCGTATACTAACGTTCCTTGCTGGTGTGGGTTATAATAATAATA